CATAATATCAATGGACGAAATCAATTCGTGTCTTTTTAAAGAGGGAGGCAAAAATGACCAGTCACCTTTTCTTAAGCTTAAAATGTGAAATCTAAAATTACAAAATTAAAATTGTGTATAAAATAATACTGAAATAAATAAGAATATTAAAAAGAAGTGAAAATTAAAAAAAATTTACAACTGAAAATAAAAAATTCATAAGTAAAAAATATATCAAAATGAATATATGTATATAAACAAATATAATACAGAAAATATATAAATATATAAATATAATACAGAAAATATATAAATACTATACATAATAAACAACAGATAAAGTATATTATACATTTTTTTTTTCTTAACTTCTATTTTATGAAACGTATGTCTTTTACCATTGCTGGTGAATAGAAATGTTTTTAATATAAGATACAGTATAATAAGTTATTGTAAATACAAAAGATGTTAAAAAGTTTAAATAATGTTTAGTCTTTCTTTTTTTCTATTTTTTTTGTTTAAATAAAAGTCAAAATAGTTATTTATTTTGTTTATAATGACATCAACTAATCATTATGCTATTGATAATTGTATGTGCTATAATTGATTTGGTGCTAATTTGATATATTGTTATTGCAATGCTTATTGATTATATTGCTGCAAAGAGACTTAAATAACTGTTCATCATGTTTGTTGGACACTGAAGTTTAAAAAGATTTTGTTTCTAGTATTTTACTAGATGTTATCAAGGTTAATAAAATCAAACTGTCTGAAATATATAACAGAAAAAATATAATACATATAAATTCATATATAATATAAAGTAGATTAAATAATATATATAAAAACAACATAAAAAGAATATATATAAATAAGTATAATATATAAAGTATAAAACCAATAAAATATATAAACGATAATATACAACATACTGCAGTGTACCCAGGGGGTGGTTGAAGTTAAAGCAAACTCCCCCTACCTTTTATTTTATAGGAAATAATATATATATATATATATATATATATATATATATATATATATATATATATATATATATATATATATATAATATATATATATATATATATATATATATAAAATATTTTAGAAGTAAAAAATTAATTTTCATATAACAAATTTTTACCTGTACCACAATAAGGAGTTCACCATAACATATAAAAATAAACTAACAGAAAGCAAAGCAGCAATCCATATTGAAACTAAAAAATAAAATAATTTTTAAAATGTATGTATGCAGTTTTTTTTATATTTAACAGTTTTTGACTGAAATCTTTAATCCAATTTTTTAAACATCATATCTATTATAAAGTTACATTTTTATTAAAACTTATAATATTTCTATTATAAAATCTACTTACCTTTAATACAAATAACTAATTGCTTTATGTATGACGATTTGCCTAATAGCTCTAACAATGCATCTGTGATAGTTTTGTAACTCTTGAAATCTCCAGAATTTTCAATAGTAACAAATAGTAACTCATACAACCTGATAATTTGGATGAATGCCTATAATCAAAACCATGATTAGCGATAAATCAACTATTGAATAACTTTCATCATACAATTCTAAGTAATAATTACTAAACAGCAGGGCTTATATTTATACATATATATATCTATATATATATCTATATATATATCTATATATCTATATATCTATATATCTATATATATATATCTATATATATATATCTATATATATATATATATATATATATATATATATATATATATATATATATATATATATATATATATATATATATATATATATATATATATATATATATATATATATATATATCCTTAGAGTGTAGTCGAAAGAGTCTTTTAATGTAAAAAAAGTCTCTTTCGACTACAATTTTAATTACCTCGTCTCTTAAGCTGTATTTGATTGTCGTCGAAATGTCAAAGCAATTAAATTAATGCGGAAGTACATTAAATTTTATTGTTTTTTAAAAAAATTTTAAAAAACCGCAATAATAACGACTAGAAAGTTTTTTTTAATTAGTGGTGTTTTTGTTTTTGTTTTATTAAAAAACATTTTTAAAACATGCGTAAATGTTGCTACATCGACTATCTTATAGCCTGCTGCTACAAAAGAGTGTTTCTACATCGACTATCTTATAGCCTGACTCGCAACGGAGTGCTGCTACATCGACTGACAAATAGCTTGACTCGCAAGGGAGTGCTGCTACATCGACTGACAAATAGCCTGACTTGCAAGGGAGTGCTGCTACATCGACTGAGGGTTTGGTTTGGGCAGGCAGTCTATCATTTAAAAAAAAAAAAAAATTAAGTTTTTAAACTTTTCATGGTCTGGTTTATTAACGCGCTCTTTAAAACTACAGTTTATGGGAAACTCTTTTTGACTACCATGCAAGAGTATATATATATATATATATATATATATATATATATATATATATATATATATATATATATATATATATATATATATATATATATATATATATATACGAGGTGACACCAAGTTTACTATACTGGGCGACATCAACCCCAGGAACGCCACTGTAATTGTATATTATATCATGATTCATATTGTGTGCAATATTCTGTATAATATCGCGTTTGTTATATCTTGTTTAATATTAGGTAGAAATCTGCAAAATTGCAAAAAAATTATTCTATAAATTATCTCTTAAATCTAATAACCAATTCTTGACAGCCCAAAGAAACAGGTTAATCCATAGTTAGATATACAAATTCATTCCAAAACATCCCAAAGAAACACTTAACTAATGTTGAACTATCACCACAGTTAAAAATATTTCTTAATAAATTACTTAAATTTTTTTTTTTTGTAGTTATTTTTGGTGCTCCCAGAAGTCTTTACGGTTTTATCACAGAGTACTGCGGGAGAACATTTAATAAGAAATTCACACCTCTTTCCGTACCAATGTCACTTGTTGGGCTAGAGCTGGTGTCGAACCTCGGACCTCTGGCTCAAGTGGTTAGAGTTCACAAATTTCAGCTATGGAAACTGATAGTTCTGCTTGTGATCTATAACTCTCTTTTTAAAGAGTTTTTTTTTAAAACTTTTCTGGCTATCTAGAGCAGATGAGTGTTGGGTTCCAATTACCAATATTATTTTTGTCATTGATGCAACTGCAACTACAACTGATTATATGTTTATTTTGACTGTTGACTCATCTAAGCAAATCTTAACACAATCTTGATACTTTATTTTTTTGTATTTTTCTTCTGTAAGTAATTATATAAAATGTAACAAATATAAATGAATTTTTTTTTAAAGACCATTTTTTAGAGTTACTTTAACTTTGTTAAAAATAAAAAAATTAAATTTTTTAAAAAAATAAATGGGGCATAGCCCCCAGTGCCCTGGCCCCTCTGGTTGTGTTCCCTGAAAACAATTATAACACATGTTCATCCGGAGTACACAAATGCTGAAGAATTCGGACCTCCCGTTTGTCTAGAAGTTAGTGAATAACCAATGGCAAGATTCCGCTACAAAAAAGTGGGGCATATGACCTAGCCCTCTTCTGGTGTCTTGGGCTTTGGAAACAATTAAAACATGCATGTTTATCAAAACTATACAAATGCTAAAATTTTCAAAGCTCCAGCTACCCTGAAAGTAGTGAAAAATCAATCACAATATTCCACTACAAAAAAGTGGGGACTGTGTCCTGTTATCCATATAGAAAACCCATATACTTGCAAATTAATGCGGTAGTGGTGTAGTGGTAAGAGCACTTGCTTTGTAAGCGAGAGGTTCGGAGTTTGACTCCCACCACGTCCCTGGAAGTACCCCGCTCAACTTAATTTCTCCGTGCAGCGATCTTGCTTGTCAAGGTTTGTGTTTCGGAGTTAAAGAGTTGAGAGAGGGTTGTACCACGATTTACAACAAAAAAAAATTAAAAAAAAAAAAAAAAAAAAATGAGTAGCCTCCTCGACTGTAGTGTTCCCCTCGGGCCTTGGGGAGGTGAATAAATAAAAAATAAAAAATAAAATCATTTTATTTTTTGAAAGATCAATGAATATAGAATGATGTGTAAAATTCTTATTTTGTTTAGATATCACTAAGGCAAAATCTTGATCATTAAAAACATGTATATAAAAATTTTTTATGAAATTGATAATTACAGGTACTTAATAACAGTTTTTTTCCATTTCTAATCATTTTATTTGATTCGTTACCCCTGTAAATAGCCAGTTACATATGATTAAGTAAAAAGATCAAGTGTTTTTAAAATTATGTTACTTAAAACATCTAAATAAAAATTGCAATTCTGAGCAAACAAGAAGGACCTAACCAATATCTGCTGAAAGTAAAATGGTCATACTTCAGGATCTTCTTCAAGCTAAAGGCTAAACTTTTCAAGGAATTCTTATTTTACTAAGTACTCTTAATTGTAAAAAAATCAATTTGAGATCTATGGTGACATTTTTAAATTCAATGTCAATGAGTCAAATGACATGGAATTAGTCTTCTTACTTCAATATAATGACCTAATGGCCGATTTCTGTCATTACTACTATCAGTAAGAAATTGCAAGATTTGTTTGAGTTTTCAATTAAAAACCTAATACTGTATCTTGAACCTAACAACTTACTTTCTGAAAACCAAAACAGATTTCAATCTTCTCATTTTACTGCTAGCTTGTTCATTATAATAAAAAAAAGTTCTTTCATGCTATAGATGAAGTGCAAGTGATATATTAAAAGAATTTCAATAAAGTTTAGCATGCTGGTGTACTCCAGAAGTACACTTCGAAATGATTCACAAATACTGAATCTGGGAATTTTTTTCAAAACTATTGAGGCATTCCTTTTTAACATAGCATTTAAGTTGACCATAACAGACAGCACTTTTCGACACTTCCAGTAAACTCTGGGTTTCATCTTTGATCCTATGCAAAGTTAGTAATGGATTACATGTATTATGATAATAATACATACAACCAAAAACAAAATAATATATAAATGGTAAAGCTGTTTTGTATTGCTAAGGCTGCCTCTATTTATCCTGCTCAATAAATCCTTATCCTTTATCTCTTTTAAATCTTTAATGTTTCATGGTATGGAATACTGTTGTCATATTAAGCTTAATCTTTACAATAAAGGCCTTTCTTTTTTGAACAAGGTCCAAAAATATATTGTAAATGTAGTTGTACTTACTCTAGCTGTAAAGCTTAAAACTTTGTCCTTATCTTACACAGAGAGGTATTTGACCAAAAATAGGTAATACAACTCTCTGGTATTAGGCAAGGGTTTTGAAAACAATATTCTTACTCTTATATCCACCTACATTTCATGAGTTTAAAGCATATCCTGTAGTATGATCAATTGTCTTTTAAGATTTGTCTTTTTTTTTTTTCTTGTTTTTGAAACTTTTGTTTTGCTTACTGTTATGTAATAATAGCTTTTATGTATCTTACGTGCTTATGCTTAGGGCCTCTTCACTTTATTAACTTTCTTTTTGTTCTTTATCATTCTCCTTCTCAAAACTGCACTCTATTAGACATGTGTGCATGTGTGTGTCCCTGTGTGTGTAATCTACCCAATCAAAAAATAAATTTCATAACCATCAACTTGAAAAAGCAATGTTTTCTACTATTACTTAGGTGTTACTTTTATTTTTTTTCTTAATTCCATAATTTACAAGAAAGTCAGTTTGTTACTGTTTGATTTGCTCATTAAAAAAACCAAAATAAAAACCAAAATGGCTTCCTACTAAACCTGCATTTATTGAACCCAAAATTGAAAAAAGTGATTCCAAAGTGATTCTCATTTATTTGCTGAAGGCTTCTACAAAAAATGCACAAACCTCAGTAAGAAAAAATCTAGTACATAATATGTCTAAAGATTTAGTTGCAGGAGAAAGAGTATCATTAATAATAACAAAAGATTTTGTAAGTTACAAAATAATACGGAATTGACAAACCTGCTTAAAAAACTTGTACCAACACTCAGATTTATCAACTGGGTAGAGTGTTGAACAACTATTTCTGCAACAATAACAACTATTTCTGCAACAATAAATAGATTTATGAATACCCACAATGGTAAATGCTTGCTTTAGCAATGTTCCTAATATTTATTTAGCTATATAAAAAAAAATAATAATAATTCAAAGTCTTTGTTTAAAAGCTTCTGAGAACAAGCCATGTCAATGTAATCTTTTACCATATTAAATTTATTAATTTATTAGGAACCAGAAAAAATCTTAAGACCCAATGGGGGCCACTATAGTTAAGGAGACTACGATATATTTTTCCTCTTATAATTGTTATATCCCCTCTTATAATTGTTATATTCTTTAACTCAGTTTCAATTTGAAGGAAGAACTTGCTATTACTTTTAATCTCTTTTTTTATTATCAATAACTGATGACAAGGTAATAAGTTGTTTTGTAGTGTCATATAAAAGCAAGGATGCAGAGACCCTTCCATCTTTAAATCTTTATTTTTTCCTGGTGTCTGGTGTTCAACTTATTAACTGGTCATCTGTTGTTCACAACTGAT